CTTTCCATTCAGTATCAAAAATGGTGGATCAGACTGACATGGCCGTTTACATCCTGAAACAAATCGAGTTAGTTCGAAAAAAGCAGACTCCTGCAAAGAAATTCGAACAGTAAACAAAGTAACACTGAACGCACCAACTTCACAAAATATAGAAGTAGCGTGCAGCCCATTGGAAACATTTAAAAAATTTCAATACAAGTACAAGAATCAGAGGCAGAGAGTTCTCACGGAGACCAGCGGTCAAATCACGATGAAAAACTTTGTCAGAAACGTGCACTGTAGATTTAATAAAAACAATCGTAAAAGAAAACTAAACTTTTAAGAGGACAAACATACCAGATCTTTGTTGAACGACGAGGATATCGGCTTCGTCTATGGTATTCTCATCATTCATCATCTCAAATTCCATAGCTTCTGCTGTTGCTAAAAAATACAAGATTTCATAAGAAAAATGTCTCAGGATTGCGAAGATCTTATACAATTTCATTTCTTTTTCTCATCAAAACTTTTAGCACAGAACTTATAAAACGCGACGTTCAACTTTGCAACTTTCAGCACTGCATTAAAGTGACCCTCAAAATCTCTTACGCTGCGTTCACAATTTTCCACTCAGCTTCTTCGAAATTTGCATGCTGAGTAAGAAGGAAAGTGTAGGTGACCTACCGTTTTGGAAGAATCAGCGCGAGCGAACAGGGAAGCATAGGTATCAGTAGGCGTCCAAATGCTGATTCTCCCAAAACGTTGGATCGACACCTACACTTTCCTTTCCATTCAAAACGCCAAGCTGAAAACACTGGTTGTCTCGAAACGCCGAGTTGCAAAGTATGAACGCAGCCTTAGTCTGTGTTAATACTTCGTGATACGAACGATTCATTCTGTATCGCTCCAATGCCGAAGTTAAAAACGTCTCTGAACTCTTACAAACATTTCAAAGAACGAAAGGCTAATAAGCAGTACAGACTGAAAGCTCCATAAACCACAGTTTATTATGCATACCCGTAAGTGTGTCGTTCTGCTCTCGCAGCCATAACACGCGATTTCGTTCCGCTTTGTAGAAATCCCTAAAGGACGGACAGTCATGACAGAATGGGCTGTTAAAAAACAACACTCAGATGTGCTTCTCACGCAACTAATAGGATATTCCATGGGCCATAAAAATCTCAGAAACGAATCAAAATAACTTGTGATAGGTCTTATGAACCAGAATACGAATACTTTATTTATAGGAAGTACACTTGAAAGCATGGTTCAAATTAACATCCATCAACGAAAAATCCTTTAAGAACTAAAAATAGCCGAAATTAGGAGCGTGGCAAATGATTCAGTACTAAAGCAAGCAAGCTCCTTTGCAATACACGCTCATGAAGCACTTCAAGGGAAGACGGTCAAGACAATTATGATTTACCGAACCATCGCGCGCGGCGATCAGAGAGGCATCTTACCAGTTTGGGTTTGCTTGTCGATTGAAGCCCAGGGTTTCAGGTAGGTTATGAGATCGATATGATTATTTTCGATTATGCATACTCTTTTGTTGCTATTAGCTACCTAAAAACATTGCCACTTGCATGCGATGCCCACTAACGCGGCGAATTACGGTTGTCTTGGATATTATTTAGAAATCGTAACGCCGCTGTGCGTCGTGGTCTCAATTCGAAGGAAAATACAATTTCAGAATACCTTGAAGAGGAACCACCGGCGAGTGCTCCTGTATGCCTTTCTATAATCAAGGCTCAACTTTATGGTTAGTTTAAACTGTATCTTCCCTGCAGAACTATCATTCTTCGGCACAGTCGTCCAATCGTCGGCGCTCCAACTCTATTTGGAAAAGGCACACAGAGGCACGGCCCAGTGGGACCCCTCCCCCCTCCCCACCAACCACCAACTACGTCAGCGCCCAGTAATGTGGGATTGTTGGATAAAACCAGTTAAAGCTGTAGAATTTAGTTATAATTGCCCAGAGCAACCGTAACCGAATCCGCAGAACAGTTATATAACCATAAAGTCAAAATTCAAATAAACTCACATGATACTGGAAGTAGCTGCACACATTCCTAGTAACAGCGATGAGATCCTCACCTAAATTACTAAATAGACCACATACAAGAAAACCTCATGTACTTTTACCGAACACGATAGAGGTAAAACTAGCAATGGTACATGAAGAAATGTACCACTTCTATGAATATTGTAGCAAAACTGGTAGGATCCCTACTAAACTACTTTACAAGGGGAAAAATAGAGCAGCAAAGTAAAAGAAAGGAAAAAAGTTCGTAATTCACGCGCTCCCGCTTCCGCCAAGTAGGTCGCTGTCTCCTTTATGGCGTTTCTGTGTGATACACACTGCGCACACGCCGATTCACGGACAAGAGGGATTTCCAAGTCTGCGTGGAATCCATGTAACCGTAAATGAAAAGGCGGTTCATTGTGTATTTACTTAATGATAGTCACCAGTAATTGCTTCCTCTTGATGACCATGATTACAACAGTCATTCTTTTTTGTCCATGGTGTCTAGAGTATGTAAGTTCCGCCAAAAAAATGAATAGAAGCAAAATGGAATTCTATCGAGCCTTCGAAGAGGAAGGGCTCCGGGATAGGTCACCCCTCAGAAGGTATGGCAATCACCTTTTATTGAGGGGTTGTTCACATCGGAGCTTCCCACTAGATTGGGTGAGATTTCTCCTCCCTAGCAGCTGTTGCGGCCTGAAAAAGTCACTAAGCGCTAATTTTTCATTAAAATGCCGCGACTCATCATGCCACGACGATGACCATGGCATGTCTTTCATCATACATGTCCTAATGAGTAGCCAACTGTTATCAAAAGAAAGCTGTAGGCAGTGGCTGTCCCTAATCACGATGGCACTAAAAAACTTCAGAGCTTCAGTGAGGGGAGGGAGGGGGAGCTACAGGCGCTTGTTCGGTGAGTCACAATCATGGCCTTTCACCTTCCGAAGAAGAAAATCCCTTCGACACGTAGCCAATAAAGTTGTCTTTATAACCTCTTGTGGAGGAAAAACTAAAAGAAAACTTATTCACTCTCGCTGCTCTTGAGGGTTCACTACTACTTTCAGCTAGTATTAGGTAATCAGTAACATAATGAGTGAGGAGATGACGAAAGACAATGTTGTGCTGGATTTCCATTCCCATGACCTCCTTATATACCGTGAACTGGTGGTCGCCTCAGCCGCACGAGTAACAAATAGTACGGTGGTGGCTCGCTGATCCGTTCACCGTATGGTAGTCAACAACTGCTGGAAAATGGGGAAGTTTTCGAGTAATGAGGTGTTCAGCAAATGCTATGCATAGATTAGGGACTAATTTCTCTACCTCTCCATGATTTGGTAGGTTTTGTTCAGCATGAAAACACGAAAACATGACAATCCCATCCTAACCAATAAATGAAAACGTCATTATCTGTCTGACTGTTTGGTTGTCTGCCCGGAAACCCGGCATACTTTGAAGAGCCCTCTGTAGGAGCACATTGAGCTCAGCTCTGTAGACCAGGAGTGCGCTGAATGTGGACAATGTGCTTGTTATTCGGTGTCAGAATGCTATTAGGGCCAGAAAAATGGGTAAGGGTTACCAGTGGAAGAATGGATGAAATGGCGGTGAGATATGATGAAACGGCGGTGGGTATAGAGGCATATACGATGAAAATGGGAGGAAAATTTTCAGAATAGATTATCAACAAAGGCAACCTGAACACGCCTAGCGTAGGAGATCTGTCTACAAGGGGGAGGAACACCCTCAAGCAAGAACTACGTATTTCAGAAGTTCCTGCCTCAAGACACACTGGAGAACGAGAAAGCGAGTGAACGGGAGCACTGCTGGCAGGAATCGGGCATGCAGCTGGGTGTCTCTCTACTCAACCGGCATTGTTTCAGTTTCGTCTGACCTTCATTCGATATGCGGGTGGATATATTCTAAAGCGAACAATGACAGCTGTCAAAGGTACTAACGGTAGGATGTCTTCTTTCGCATTGGCCGCAAATACCAGCAACATACCAAAAAGTTTTGCACATCCATAAAGGGTTGTCGTTAATTGGGAGTTCCCCACCCCTTCGCATTCTTCACTTCGTGAAGTTCTTCTTTCTGCCCTCCCCAAGATGAACCACTGTGAAGACTGAAGCGCATTACCCACTCCAGAAGTTTTATTTATTTATGGAGTAAATTCGGTTGCCAAAATTCACCTTTTTCTGCAGCAACAGTAAACAGTCACTAACATGGAGAATGAAAACTTACCAAATTCATCGAGAGTGATACTTCGAAGGCCCATGTCACGCGGCTGAGGTTCACCTTTCTCTGCAATATGAATGTGGAGCTGCTAAGCATGAGCGGTCTTCAAAAAAAATCGTAAGAAAACTGTGATATTTTAGGGAGCCGCGTTTACCACTCTCACCGCGGTTAAGGGATGTGCAATGTATACAGACCACATCGTACGCTGGACAATCCCTTGCGCGAGATGGGTGGGGGGTCGTATTTGGTCGGAGGAGATAATTTTTTTGACAGTTGATTTTTCTTGTTCCATGGACGCTACAAGGGGAGATTGGGTACCAGGGTGCATCGTTGTTCGGGAATCCCCAACAAGGTGGGGGTCGTGTTTGGTTGTCGGGAGAGGGGGGGGGGTCGTATTTGGGCTGAGAAAAATTTATTTTGATAGTTGATTTTTCTCGCTTCACGGACGTTGTAAAAGGGGTAGGGGTCGTACTTGCTCTTGTTGGGAGGGGGGTCGGCTTCTCCCACTTCACATGTGCTATTTGCCCTCCCCCCCTTTCTCGCTCGACAGCTCGATTCAGTGAGGAGGGATAGAGGGCCGGAGAGGGGGTCATACGGGCTCGATCAAAATCCGCAACCAATGATGTGCCCTGTTGGTACTTGCTTTTATGAGAAATTTGCGGCCTTTGGGGAAAATTTTTTTCTGCTGTTGAGTTTTCACGGTTCTCCATGTGCTATATAACCCCCCCTCCCCTCCGCTCAAGAGCATAGTTTTGAAAAAACCGGGAATTTGTCAGGAAATTCCGGAAAAACAGGAAGAAGTTGTAGGAAGTTGGGAAAATCTAGAAAAATGGCAGGTAGGATGGGAAAGCGGGGTCACATCTGAGGAGGAAATTAAGGGTGTATTTTCCGAAAATTTTCCCCAGTGGCAGGACGTATATATCATGAATATATATCAAGGTACATCCTGCTCCCAGAGAAAATACTCGTGAAATTTGACCCCAGCTTCAGCGTTCTCCCTCGCTGGCGATCTCCAACGTGCGACCTGCCGGGGTATACATATAAGCGTAAAGAACTCAACTGCAACTCGGCCTAATGAACTGAATGCAGTAATGTGGGTAAATTAAGTAGTTCAGAATATTCGCTAAACTAATTTGGCCTGAAATGAGGAGCAACATGAATGGGTATGTGGTTATGCGAATGCGATTTCTGTACGAAGAATTCGTGTAGGTAAACATGGCCGGAGGTGGTTGAAGAACGACGAGTCATACTGGCCATACCCATTGCCGTATATTGAACATCAAACAAGCATTGAATGGGCATGGGTCATCTGGTGCGGTGTAAAGCCGTTGAAGCTTGTTCGTCGCACCGATGTGCAGGAATACCTACGGGTAAGTGTTCTCGAATCGACCAAAATTCATCCTTTTTGCTTCAGTCTAATTAACAGCCATGTCGTTATTATGCTGATCATTTACATACATATTTAAGTTGTCTTATCACATTGACAACAATATGAGCCATCGGGGGCTAAAAGCTGACGCGAATGAGGAAATTCATGGCCTTTCAAAGCGTTTCCAAAGAAAAAATGCGATTATCGTCAATGCTAAGGCAGCGTTCATAGTTCGCGACAGCAGCGGAGATCGCCGCGATCAACTGGTAAGACCTTCTTTACTCTTAATAAGGGCCACTAACAGATAAACTACGACTTTCTAGGTCGGGGTAAGACCAACTCCATTTCCTGGGTGAGCTTCTTTTTTGTTTTGTTTTTATTGTTTCAATTTATGCATGCGCCTCAGGAATTCCTATCGTCTAAGCTGTTCCAACTTCCAAAACATTCATAGTTTACAAGTCGAGTTCAAACAACGAAGAAAAAAAAAAGAAACTCTCCTAGGAACCAAAGCACTAATCATTTTACGCGACATCAACAGGTGAAAACTTCATAAACCTCATGTACAACCTCGACGAATGAAAAAAGAAGCAATAAAAACGTACCTCAAGTGAAGCTCTCGCGCTTTTTGCTCATATCCTAAATAAGAAAGAAAATAGAAAACAAAAGCGATTAAGCTGGGCTCACCTTCCCTTGTGTCAAACCAAGCTTCAGTACCTAAGGAAATTGCAGTTAAAGGAAAAAAAGCATAAAATTGAGCCGCTTACCCCCAGAAGCCTTCGGAGCGCAAGTAATAGCGTTGGGGCGCGCGCTGCCATGCACCGACGATCGCGGCGATCGCCGCTGCTGTCGCGAACTATGAACGCTGCCTTAAGAGATCCAACTTCCTCATAGAACCTCCTCTGGGAAATTTGCCCACTCTATTTAATTTTGTGGTCTTTTTCAGGTAATGAAAGATATTGTGCGATCCGTCTTACTGCTCATTCAGTTTTCGATTGCATCTTGCATCACTTGTTATGAATGTAACGCCGTCCAAGGTCAGCAATGCAGGTACACTGCCGCTTCATGCCAGTACGGATTCTTCGGCTGCGTGAAACTCACCGTTTACTCGGGAGGAGTGGATAAATGTAAGTGAGCTGGATGTATTACCGAAATTTGTGGAGGAGACCTGCAGAGAACAGAGGGAAATTTCATTACTGGTTAGCAGACCGTAGCAATTCTATGTTAAAGGCACTTTCCGCGATAAACTAAGGCCATACGCTTTAAAATGTGCCAAATGGTCTCCCAGGCGACTGCAGGGGCTGTGGCACACCTAAAAAGTCAAAAAAAGCAGGTTTTCCCGTAGAAGCTGGGCAAATAGGCCCATTGGCACCCCTTAGGCCCATGGCAACCCGCAAAGGCCCATGGCCAATGTGACGACGCACCGAGAGTGAACGCTGAACTCCGTGCTTGCGTTGCTAGGTGTCTCGTTGGGATTATTGCGCCGAACAGCTGATAGGTGCCCTGCCATCCTCATTTTTTTTGCTTTTTTCGCTTACTATCTCGGTCGACATAAACGGTATTTTTGTCACCTTCTTTGAATCTTCCTCTATCTCTTATCGCTTACGAACTCTAGTGAAATGTGATATTCGGAACCGTACAGATCAATCAATATCAAGGCTCGGAGAGGTTCACAATACAACTTGCAAGAACAGAAAAGAGAGAATAGTAGGGAGGAAAGGAAAAAAAAAGAAAGGTGGCGGTTGATGGTTGAAATCGTGGACTTTAACTGATCAGCTGCTGGCAATAGGTTAGCGTTTCGACACCGCCTGAAAAACTCGTCCAGGCCACGCCTTCTCTCCGTGCTTTGCACGTCCAACCCAGTTCGGCACGGGGTCCTATAAAGGGCATTCCAAGGGTTTTTCTTCGTTTTCTCCTCCTTATTCATCAAATCACTTCCCCGTCATTCCTATGTGAGCCCCACTACCCTCAATCTGTGGTCCCGGGCTTTGCCTTTAAATCAATTAGGTAGTGGGCGATTGTCGAGCAAGTGTTGCTGCTTACAGAAATGTTTTCACCTCATCGCACCATCCTGGATATGAAGTGAGGTAGGAGTGAATCTCGTAAGTTGACCAGAATCATTCCTCAAATGCTCCACTAGTTCGGCTCCTGTACGTGATCGTAAGGTCTTTGAAACGCGTTAGTAACTTAAGCAGGATCTGTTGCTTTTTGGCGGCTCCTCAGAATCAGCCCAACATGCCCCATCATCTGCAGCTAACAAGACTGTGCATGGAATTCTTGGGAGGCGAAGTAGTACGCCCTCTACGCAAACTATTTGCACCCGTCAAGGGAACACTCATTAGCAGAAAAAAAGCTGAAAAAAGAGCACAAGCTCATCCTGTGGGTACAAGTTTCTCGACTCTCACAACAAAGCAAGTTTTGTGAGGGGTATAACAATAATCCGAAGGAAGTGGGTATAACAATAATCCGAAGGAAGTAGAGGGTGGTGGACAGTTATAGTGTCGACCCGTACCGAGGAGCCGCGACTGAAGTAACGCTCCGCCGCATTCCACTGAACGAGGGCGAACATCCCTTGACCATGAGAAAATCTCATGATGAATTGAAAATTGAACTGGTTGCTCTATTGTTGTTCAAAATGTTTTTGTTCCGTAATCGAAAGTGCATTCAGATTTCCTCAGCATAATAGGAACTCTCCACATTACTTCGATCAACTTCATCAAAGATACATGGTACAATCACACATAGTTTGGGTGTATGTGACTATCGCCCCCCTCCCCCCCCCCCTCCCCAGCTGTCGAAGCGTAGCGGTTTCCCGTCCTAACATGCGCAGGAATGGAGATACAGGACCGTGAAACACGCTAATTCCTCCATGCTCCGCCCAATACCTTTTGCGGCGCAGACTCCCGTTCATGCTAACATCCGTCGTGTGCGCGCGTGTCGCGTGCGGCTCTCTTGGCTTTTTGCCAAGTCCTGTAATTGCGCTTTGGAATACAAGTAAAACGCAATTTCCTGATGCGGATAACATTTTAGGTGCTGCAAAAACCGAAGATGATGACGAGGGCTAGAACTCAAGAGCAACTGTGCTGCTTCTGCAATATCCCTCGGAGGCCGCGCATTCCCACGAAACATCCCACTATATAAATATAATTCGCTCATCATTGCGGACCGGTGGGGCGTGTCAGCCAGTATGAGTGTGCACACTGTTGAAGCCGTTCTCAGCCTTTTTGTTGAAACGCGTATGCGACAAAAAGTGGTAGAAAACGAGTAATACGAAGGATATAATACAGTAATGTCACTTGCCCGCTTCAACAACTGGTGCAGAACGACTTTGGCACCGCGCCAAACGCAGCCGCACTGACACGCCCCACCGGTCCGCAATGATGAGGACTGTATGTGTGTGTGTGTCCGTGCGTCTGTGTGTCACGAAATTCATAGCGCCTTTCCCAGTAACAGTGAGACATTGGTTCCAAGAAGTGATGTAGGGGTGTGACGGGAACACTATTGGTGGGTGACAGGAAGTGATATCAGTTGATAAGATCCGATAAGAGGCGTTAGAAGGGGAGGTCACCATATTCATAACGCGGGTGACAGCATCAGCTAGCTCTTGATTCCAAGATATGATATAGGGTATGGGCCAAGAACATTATTGGTGGGTGACAAGAACTGTAAGCTGCTGATAAGATTCGATAAGGGGCGTTATGGTGAGGTCATCGTATTCACAGCGCAGGTCACAGCATCAGCGAGGCGTACGTTTCAGCAAGTGATATAGAGGGTGAGATGGGGACATCAACCGTGGGTGACTGGAAGCGATAACTACTGATAGGGGCTGATAAAGGAAGTTGCAGTCGTCGTCGCTGTTCAAGGTGGTTCACGCTACCAAATCATAGAGATTTAGTGATGAGGACATTGATGACGGGTGACAGGTAATCTTATCAATCGATAAAAACGGATAAGATACCATCTGCGCTACATTTTTATCACTTCTTACCGCTTTAATGCCGAGTATTAGAGGCTCAATGTGTGAACCCTTTCCTCTGATGTCCAGCGGAATCAAATTCGTCCATTGAAATATTCGCTATTGGGTACATGAAATAATGTCGAGCGAGGAGGGAGTCCAGGAGGGGGGGAGGGATAGTGCGGCTGAAACGGGAAAATCGGGAAAATTCATCAATCAAAAAAATTTTCGCAAATCTGCCTGCTATGTGATGTGTTAGGAGGTGGCGGTCGCAAGCTGAAGCAAATAAGGAGGAACCCAACAACTGGGAGTGGGGACGTCCTGTCGGTGGTAACATTCGAGCTCTCCGTGCGACATACACTTTGACATGTACAAGCAATGAAAAGTTCTCCTTTATGTGCCACCCGTGACTCCGCAGTTATGCCTCTTCCCGGTGTTAAGAAACTAATTCAACTCTACGCATTCTGATGATGCAGCTGCGGTCCTTAATGATATGGTGCGGCCTTCTCACAGTTGGTAGTATGCATGAGGAACCAGATTTTGGTAGATAATGAGTGAGGTTGAGCTCTAACCCAATTCTCTACATTTTAATGAAAAAAAATAGTTGCCACCGTTTGCACATTTAGTGCATTCTACCTCGCCCAAGGGAAGAGTGCCTGGCGAAGCCAGGTCGGCCCGGCGAAGCCGGGCCGTGAAACAGAAGGAGGAGCACCCGGCGGCAGCCGGGTGATCCGACTGGTGAAAATAAAACGGCCTAAGCGTCCCACTCGTTAGTTTAAAATATTTTTATGACTCCGGAGCTGGATTCGCGTTGGGTCGCAGAAATCTTAATCAATTAGCTTTTCCTTAACTTTTTTCATTTTTGTTTTATTTACATCTACATTCGTTGTTCTTCATTTCTAGCCTTTGTCATCTTCATCACCTTCTATTCGGACTTTGAAGCATGAGCAACACCTCAAATGTTATTCGCATTAGGAAATTGCGTTTTGCTTGTAATAAACTAACGAGTGGAACGGAAGCAAGGATGTTGCAGAAGCAGCACAGTTGCTCTTAAATTCTTTCCCTCGTCATCATCTTCGGTTCTTATTTTGCAGCACCTAAAATGTTATCCGCATCAGGAAATTGCGTTTTACTTGTATTCCAAAGCGCAATTACAGGACTTGGCAAAAAGCCAAGAGAGCCGCACGCGACACGCGCGCACGCGACGGATGTTACCATGAACGGGAGTTTGCGCGCGAAGTGTGGAGAAATTAGCGGTTTCACGGTCCTGTATCTCCATTCCTGCGCATGTTAGGACGGGGAAACCGCTACGCTTCGACAGCTGGGGGGGGGGTGATAGTCACGCACACCCAAACTATGTGTGGTCGTACCATGTGTCTTTTATGGTAAAATCTGCGATGGAAGGACTGTCGACAAATTTTTATTTGAAGTTTTTCCACAGCGAAAAATTCGGTCTTACTCCATCTAATGTGATATGTTTTGCACGAAGAACCACCGTTGTAAGCCTGTGTTGCAATAATCCGTCAGCGTATCGAACCTTAGCATCATTGGCCCCAAAAACCCTAAAAAGACTCCGATTAACTTAGAAAGTATGGCTCGCAATCAAAGATATCGTCCTAGTGCCAAATATAAACTGAAATAAAGGTGAAAAGGTACATGGTTCGTCATGCTAGTGTTTAGTAGGAATGTTCGAAGATCAAGACCGGCGCATTGTGACAATGATCCAGGGGTGTGCTATACTACCTTTCGGAGGTGAGCTCATACATTCATTTTTTTTTAAATTCTTCATTCTGAATGTCAGCATGTCTAAATTTTCAATTCAAATTGTCCAACAGTTCAGGAGTTGACATGTGTGAGCAATCGTCGATTCTCGGCTATCGAATAGTTAAGTGCACCTGCTTCAATGACTACTGCAACTCGTCACATCGTTCCATGCAATTTGTTATCCTCTACCTGTTGATGGTGCTCTTGTTCATACAGCACTTTTAGATATAAGTATGAAACATCAAATAAAGGAATAATGCAAAGTTCTTCTTCCCATTGGTCTCTAATGAACCACACACCCATGCCTTACTCAGAGAGGTGCTTGAGTGCACGGTGTGGTCACCAAGAGTTGCAAAAGCTAGTTAATGTTTGAGCCAGTGATTGCATCTTATCAGTTACTTCCAATGCCATTTGAA